CAAAGAACCTGTCAACTTCAAAGCATTTTTCCAGTCTGGGTGTCTGCAATTTCGGTCGTAAAATTAGATTTGACACCTCCTAACCTTAATTTCAACCTTTCTCTTACAATGGAACTAGTAATGTTCAGTTAATTTTTTAGAAAGTAAAATTAATTACTTAGTGTTATCTGTTATTTGGTGTCTGTCTGGTTTACTTCTCTTGTTTACATGTTGCATTCCTTAACTCAGACTAGAGTTACAGAAAGAGAAATCTTCTGTCTGTCTTAGCCTTGTAATACAAAATGGAGTCACCTCTGTTCTGAGGGTGACTGGCAGTATACACTTTTAATTTCTATCGTAACACAAAATGTCTGCCGATATAAATATACTGACAGGACAAATCCATGGTTTGCGGTTTCTTTTCGAGTTTTGGGTACACTCCCTCTGGACATGCCCTAGTTGCTGACACTGGTGACACCGAATGTTGCTGCGAGGTTGAAAGCGGGGGAGGGTGCAGGGTTGACCCTACCTCTGTTGCGTTGTGGTGCTGGTTCAGGAATAGTTCGTCTCAAGAATAGCCGGGGTGGTGGTCTATGGTTGAGTCATGGTGCTCGTCCTACAGCCAGGCTGCATCTGTAAGAGTAAGGGGGTTACGGTCCCTCACCCATTCTTGCATTTCTGGGGCCAGCCCACTGAAGAACTGCTCCATGAATATAAGCTGGAGCAGTTCCTCCATGGTCGTACCCATCCAACTGTGGCTCTTTGTAGTCTGCACGCCCACTCTGCATGCAGATCTTTTTCCAATTTATTTTCAGTTCCCAGAATCGCCATTGGTATGCCTCTGGTGCAATGGCATACCGTGCTAGGATCACTTGTTTGACCTGGGTATAGTTTCTGCTGTCCTCATCGGTTAGTGCCCTGTATGCCTCTGCTGCGCGTCCAGACAGTTTTCCTGCCAACAGGGGTACCCAGTCCTCATGGCTAATGTTGTGTAGGTGGCATAACCATTTGAAATCTTGTTAAAAGCCATCAATTTCTTCCTCTGTGTCCAATAAAGTTTTAAAAGCATTATAAGGGATCTTTGGTTTGCCCTCTTGGTTGGCGAACGTCGCTGGGGATCCTTCTCTGGACTGCCGATCTG